ACATGTACAGCAAAGACACTATCTTTACTTGTATTTATATTGGGAACTTTGGGAAGATTTGGTAAATTAAGAGCTGACTATTAAGAACTTTATTCATATTGATTTTGGGAAGATTTGGCAAAGCAGGAGCTAGTTATGAAGAACTTTGACTCATATAACATGCAAATTCAATGCAATGTGAATCAAGGTAAAAACTAGAGTTCCACGATCTCATACCTTCGCCAAATGATGTTAGCCTTTATGAATAAGAAACATACTAATCACCCTGATTATGCAAATAGGATCCTCAATTGCATGAATTATATCAGTCTGTTGATCATTATTCTCCATCAAAAGACAGTCTAATCTTAAAGAATGCCATTTTCTCATAAATTATGCAAATGTGGTCCTTATTTGAATAAATTATGTTTATATATGTTCACCTTTACTTAATTCTCAAACACCCCAAGTATGAAATTCCAGGCAGTTACCACTACGCAATTATAACATTTTCTCATTAATTATGCAAATTAAGTCTTCATTTGCATAATCAATATTTGCCTGTGTTTCTCTCGTTCTTAATAACATATGTTACAAGCTTGAACTTCCTATCATGGAATGCAGCTGATTTATAGAATTTCCTCATTAATTATGCAAATTACATCAATATTCGCATAATTGTAATATCATTATGTCAAGCATCACTTCAGCTACCTACATACCAAAAATCACGATGATCCATCAATCGGTTCTTGAGTTATCCTCTTTTAAACATTTGTCCTTTAAACCCCCCTGCAGTTCTAGAGCAAGCCGCTAGGGGGCCTTAACTCACGTCACTTCTTTCCCAGCACAAGAGCTACCTACCATCCAAATTTCATCACCATAGCATGTCTGGATCTTGAGATATCAAAACCGGAAGTTCAGCTGCAGTACCATAACAAGCCGCTAGGGGGTCCAAAATCTAATCATTTTGAGGTCTCATCAAGACCTACCCATCTACCAAGTATCAAGACAATCCATCAAGGCCTTCTCAAGTTATCGTGTTTACAGACAGACAGACACACACACACACACATACACGAACGCCCCTGAAAACATAACCTTCTTGGCGAAGGTAATTATGAGAATTGGGGGAGGGGGGTGGGAAGACAACGGTGTTTACAAAACATATTATCACATAGAGGTTGTTTAAACTTTAAAGGTAGTCTCTACCAGGCTTCAGAAGTAGCTGGAAAGAGTATTTTTTTTTACAAAATTGACCAAATACTTATAGAGAGATAACATGCCAGCCAGGGGAATTGTCCCTCTAACGTTACTCTTTTACCTCAATTATAGCAGACCAACTCAACCTCCTTGGTTCAACCAAGGAGCTTCAAATACCTTCAAAATGGTTCAACTGTTCTTATATATAATGGTAGGCGCTTGTACAATGTATAAACAGGCGAAATCATATCGATTCCCAGCCCTTGATCTACAAAGGCTTCCAAGCTATAGATTTTCTTCATTGTATAATTGATAATCATTATTTGATATACTGCATAGAGACTTTTAATCAGACAAACCTTGGTGATTTAATTTTTACATTAATGTGCATACCTATAAATAATAGATTTTCCTCAATTGTATAATTGATCGATAATCATTCATTTGATATAGTTCATAGGGACTTTTAATCAGACAAACCTTGCAATTGGTGGTTTAAATTTTACACTAATGTGCATACCTATAAATTGACATGATAACTTTGAGAAGAAGATTAATCACGATAATTAATGTTGCATCCAAGCTGATCACTATTCTATCCTTTCCTACTTCCTAGAGTTCATTTAATCAAGGAGCTGTATTGAAGTCTTGTTGAATTAGCCAGTGATTAGCCTCAACAAGTGGTTACTTACGCTGACAGTTCAAGATGGAGGTCATCTCTACAGTTGTCCAGCTGGCTGGAGGAGCTGTAGTGACCGCTGTTGCCCTGGCTGTGTCTGTATACTACATCAAACCAGCCTACATCATACATTTCTTTCTGAGGTAAAGTTGACAACACCGTAGCCTCCTTCACAGACAATTATTTTGCACTAAGGCCACACCAATTTAATTTCTTGGTTAACGGATTTTTCTAGAAAAATAATGGAGCGGGCGGGCGAAAAAAAATGAAAATAACTGGCCTAAGCATCCTATTATGGCCCAAAATGGTACGATAGGAGCCATAAAGTCAACACACCAGGCTGGTTGAAAATGAAAAGGACTGTTTTCAACTGTCCAGGGCAAAATATGAGCATTTTGCAGTTGATTCTGGATTTTTATTTTTATTTGCAAATCAGAAAAAATGAAGCGGCGAATCCGTTAACCAAGAAATTAAATTGGTATGGCCTAAGGTGGAGAAACCGTCTCTCCCCGGCATACTAGTAACTTGCATCGCTCCCCTTGCATGCGAAGGAGGCTAACAACACTGTACCCATGAGTGCTCATCTCTTCTGACTTTTCTTTCACACATTCTTTTTGGCATCACCTTGGGGTGGAGCCATTCATCAAGATTCACTAAGAAATAATATAATAAAATTATCAATATAGATTCGCATGTCGGTGAAGCCCCCCCTTGTCACACATAGGTGAATATGGCCTCCCAAACACTAGAAAGGATTGTGAAAGTGCAGGCCTGTAAGACGTCTGTAAATGTTGACAGGTTGAAAACATGGAAGGCGGGCTGTACCACCAAGTGTGTGAAAGTGGGGGAGTGCCAGTTTGCGTACATGGAGAGAGGCCAGCCCAGCGAGAACCAACCATCGCTGCTCTTCCTGCACGGGTTTGGAGACAGGAAAGAGAGTTTCTGTAACATAATCATGGTTAGTTTTCTGTCCAATCTGATTTTCTGTCCCTGGTTCATAATAATGATGAGGTTCTGCAGGGTTTTTGATTGGACCCATAGTATTAGAGATTGAGTTTGAGTCATTGATTTATTCCCTGGAGTGGCCAGAAGACAACTTTCTGTGCTGCAGGTTGATTCAAGATACCTCATCTTAGGGTTAATTTCTAAGTATTTAAAAATCTCAGCAGGAAGCCTGATTTATTTTTTAATACCTAGTCTCTTTACATTTCAATTGCCATCCCTCTACACCTTCAGAATCATGATTCTTAGTAGAATAAATGTATTGTATTTATACATGTACATGTATACCAATACATGTACTATATACATTTTGTAATCTGCAGTGCGTTCAATGTGATTGATAGTAAAAGTGTCAATTCCCTCACGTAAAGTGGCAGGCCTACATGTATCTTTTATCATGAACAGCTGTAAACAATTTTGTACATGTGTTTCCACCTGCAGCACCTGCCCAAACACCTGCACCTGATAGCTGTAGACTTACCCGGACACGGAGAAACTGGCATCAAGGCTAAGGCTGACCTGACTGTAACAGCCTTTGTTGCCAAGCTGCACCAGGTAATGGGGCAGACTCTACCCTAATAAAAAAACATTTCTCAATTTTCTGCTCAAGCAACACCCTAAGCATCAGATTGAATTTAATCTTTCAGGATCTTAGACAAGCAGAAATGTTTTTGTTTTTTTATCTCTTTTCAAAATGTATTAAGTCATTACAAAAAGAAAGCATATTAAAAGTAAGTAGCAATGAAGCAGATGTTAATATCTGTCATCAAGATATGTATGTTATCAAAATAACACAGACTGTCTTATGTCTTATATGTGATATGAGAAAGACCCTGGAGAAATTTCACGGTGTGTAGCTATAGATTAGTCAATAAAAAAGCTCTATATAATACACAGGATGCCCCAAGACCACTGGCCTCTATTATATAAGAAAAGATTATGCAATGCATCCATTTTACAATATCTTGTTAGCAATGTACTCAAGGAAAAATTTTATGATTGTCCATGGCAGTTATAAAGTTTTGCGCCAATATTTTGTCCATTTTAGTTTGTCAGCGTGGTTGGCCTTGACCGTGGTGGACTCCATGTGGTAGGACACTCCATGGGGGGCGGCCTCGCTGGGTGCTACGCAGCGTCACATCCAGGAGAAGTGTCTGTACTCACTCTGTCTGCTCCTGCAGGTTAGTATCAACTATCATATGTAACAAGTTAAAGAATTGGACTGGATGCAGGTAATTATATTAGCTGTTAGTTGTTACCTACTATGTCCTGATAAAATAAAATGCAAACAAACACAGACTTCCATTCTAACACAAGAACTTGCTCAACTCACATGTGAAAGAACTCACACACACAAACACACACACCTACACACACAATACATTTTTGTACACACACACACACTCCCACACACATGCTTGCTCACAATCCCTTGAAACACAAGCTCACACATGTGAGTAAGACATTTAAAACCATTTTATTGTTAATAAGGCCATGTTGATTTGATTATATGGATGACATCCTCCGGGAGCCCCAAAACTGATGCGCACGTGCGAATAAAAAAAAAGTTTTGCAAAAAAAAAAAGTTCTTTTCATTATGAAATCTACGTGGTCATGAGGGTTGAGCAAATGGCACAGAATATGGTTTGGCGAATAATCTAGTCTTCAAATTAATTTCTTTACAATTTCGTCTTTTTTCGTTTAGATTTTGGCATTCTACGACATTGGTATAGTTTTTATTAATTTTTTTTGTAACTTATGGTATATTTTTGCTCATTTTGCAACTGTTTTGTACGATTTACAGTATGGTTGAAAACTTTTTTTTTTTTTGGAAACGGCCGAAAATTCATGCGCGCGGGGATGTCATCCATATAATCAAATCAACATGGCCTAATAGGATGCCTAGGCCTGTTTTTATTTTATTTTTTTCG